TTTTTCCCCCAGCTCAATTTACAGATGAAAAAACTGAGTCAAACAAGGTTAAGTGACTTGCCCAGTGTTACACAGCTAGTTTGAGGGTAGATTTGAACTCAGGTCTTCCTGACTTCAGGCCTGGCGCTCTGTGTGCTATGGCGCCACCTAGCTGCCGCTACTGCAGCTCTGAATTCCTGAGCTTTAAATCCACCAACCAGTGCCTCAGGGATTTCAGGCAGGCACCATGCCTGGCTTCTCACCAGATTGTTGCCAAGGTCACAGTGATGGTAAAAAGGAAAATACCATTTAAAGTTAATCTTCAGAGCACAGAGTTGCCGCTCAGGGGCTTTTGCTGACTTTGCTGAAATGAGTTGTCTGTCTTCTTGTACTGTGGTTTTCCCATCCGCTCCTGGGGTGTTGTTTTAATGTAAAATTACCTTTTTTTTAATGAGCTCCATCAAAGAAAGAAGGAGTCAAGGCCGGGCAGGTGGATGCATTAAGGCAGCCTCATGAAACTTTTTCAGAGATTCACTTAGTGAATTATCTAAATGACAAAAACTGAGCATAGACCGATAGTGGTGGACCGAGTGATGTGTCTGTGCGCTTGCATGCTGGAATGTTCTTCAAGGCCTCTACAGATCTGTTGTTTCATCCGGGCAGGCATTCCTACACCAAACCCGATCTTCATGAACAGCTGCGGTGAAACCATTTCATCGTCCTCTGGAAACCCATGTGGAGCCAGGGGGTCCTCAGGCAGTGCATCTAGGGCTTACTGCTGGGCCATGCCCAAAGCTCTTCAAAGGTCTAATAGGACCTGCAATCAGCCATTAGACCCTTCAGGCATTCAGGGTTGGTGTGATGGTTATCACCAAGCTAGACTCGGGAGAAAAAATGAGAAAATATACCTTCTTCCTTTTGTTGAAGAGATAGAGGACAATGAGTGTAAAATAATCATAGTAGCTAGAGTTTATACAGTGTTTTAAGGCTGCAAAGCGCTCTACATGTGTAATCTCAGTTGATACTTACAGGAACCCTGGGAGGTAGGTGTTCTTATTATCCCTGTTTTACAGATGAAGAAACTGAGGCAGACAGTGGTTAAGTGACTTTCCTAGGGTCACACAGCTAGTAGGTATCTGGGGGCAGGATTTGAACTCGGGCCTTCCTGATTCCAAGTCCAGCACTCTATCCATTGCACCACCTTGTAGTGTATGCTGTCAGACACAGCTGATCTGTTAGCTCTTTTTTTTTTTTAAATCTTTGTTACAAGGGATGGCTGTCTGGATAGGGAAGAGGAAAAGGGAGGTACTTAGAAATGAAAGCAAAAGTCATCAGAACTAAAAGTTGATCTCGGGGTCAAGCCTGCGTGCCACCATGAGATAGCTGACTAGTGGTGTTAGCGGTCATTCACTTGAGAAAGAAGCAATTTGGAAGTACCAATGGTTACAGCAGGCTTGGCCTAGAACCAGAGCAGGCCTTGGGGGGGGCAGTGCTCTGATTTAGCCCCTTCATGGTACTGAGGAGGAGACTGAAGCCCACAAAGTCAGGTGGCTTTCATCAAGGCACAAGAACAGAGACAGAATTCGAACCTGGGTCCTCTGCCTCCAAACCCTAGCCTGACTAGGAACCCTACCAGTTAACTGCTCAGAAGGCAGCTGTGCTCACCCACCCCCAAGACTAGCAGTGCCCGCCCTAGAAAGCAGAGCTAAGAGGATAATCCTGGCGTGGGCTTTGGCCAGAGACTACATGTTGACATGAACCCTGATGAAGAGTCAGATGTTGTCATCATAGTCATTTTTAAGAGGAAATTCAGCCAAAGCATGTATCTTTAAAACAGAAATTGAACCAATTTTAATACTCGTTCATGTTGAATTTCCGTAGCAATCTTTTTCTTGTTAATGCCTCCTAGCACTCCGAGCTCCCCACCCTTTAAACAAGCCCTCTTCAGTTGATTGGAGTCATTCTTTGAGCAGGTCTCTCCTGCCTCTTCTACCTGGCACTGCGGAACACTTAGCATCTTCCCAGCCGCTGCCTCCGCTGCCCGCCCCCTCCCCACTTCCCAGTGCCTGCCAGTCTGGCTCCTGCTCCTGCCCTTTGACCAAGCCTGATCCCTCTTGGGGGTTACTGGTCCTCTCTTCTCTCTGCTAAATGCACTGGCCTTTTGTCTGCCCTCCTTCTCTCCTAGTTGCAGCTTTTGGCGACACTGACCACTCCCTCTTCACTGATATTCTTTCCTCCCTTGGTTTCCATGACACTGTTCTCTCCTACCTGTCTGAGCACTCCATTCCCAGTCTCTATTAGCGGATTATTATCCCTAGCCCTCCCCTAAGCACAAGTGTACCCCAAGGCTCAGTCATGTGTTTTCTCTCTCTGTCATCTTCCTCCTTACCTCCCTTTCCATCTACACCCCCTCCTCCCTCTCTTTCCCTCTTTCCCCTTCCTCCCCTTCCTCCTCTCTCTTCTCTCTTTCTCTCCCTCCTTTTTTTCTTCTTCCCTCTCTCTCTGTGCCTCTCTCCCTCTCCTTTCCCTTCTCTCTTTCTCCCTCCCTCCCTCTCCCTTTCCTTGGGGATCTCAAGTGCTCTGATAGATTGAATTATCACTTCTCTAATCCCAGACCTGTATATCCGGCCTTGATCCTGTGTAGCCATGTTTAAGGAGAAGAGATGTAAGGGTTGCATGATTGCTGTCTTCAATGTGAAAGCACTGTCCTGTATAGGAGGGATTGGACTGGGTCTGTTTGGCACCCTAGGGTGGAAGCAAGGGGTGCCAGGGACAAAGAGACCCCTTCAGGCTTGGGTCAGAGAAAATGTCCTGAGAATTAGAGCTGTCCCAAAGGGGAAGGGGATGCCTCATCCTTGGAGATCTTGGGTCAGAGGCTAGAACTCTACTTGTCTGCTGTGTTATCACCGGGCTTCCTTTGGGTCATAGATTAGACTTGGGAGCTGCTAAGGTCTCTCCCTTCAAACTCTCCCATTCTGTGATTCTAATCTCTGTGCTGATCTCCAGCCCCTCCTGATAATCTCACTGCTGGCCATCGCCTGAATGTCCTGAATGTCCTGTTGACGCTGCAAGCTCTACATACTCAGAACACAGCCCCTTCTCTCTCTCCAAACATTGTAGCTCCTCCATTTTCCCCCATTTCTATTGAAGACATTCCATTGATCATAATGATGATGATGGTAACTAACAGTAATATAGTGCCTAATGTGTCTATCTCTTTTGATTCTTACGACATCCCTGTGAAATAGATGCTATTATTAGCCGCATTTTGCAGATGAGGAAAATGAAGCAAACAGAGGTTAAGTGACTTGCCCAGGGTCCCACAGCTAGGAAGTATCTGAGGCTGTTTTTGAATGCAATTTTTTTCTGACTCTAGGCCCAGTACTTTATTCACCATGGTGCCCACTAGCTGCCTGTTCTTCTAGTTTCCAGATTTATAACCTCCAGGCCCACCCTAGACTCTTTCTTCTCCTTCATTCCCTAAATTCTACCAGCTGCTAAGTCTTATCCACTCTGCCTGCATGTTATCTGCCTCCTCTCTATCACGTGGTCACTGCCTCAGTCTTGGACCCTAAGACTCGCTGTCATTGTGTTGGGGGATGGTCTTCTTCTCATTGGGGTCCTTACTCTCGCACTCCCTCCTTTTCCATCTGTTCTCCTTCACCCAAAATTGTCTCTGTGAGGCCAATTCTGGCCATGTCACTTCCCTATCCAAGAATCTTCACTTCCCTCTACTTCTGTGTAATGTGCCCTCTCTCCCTGGAATGGGCCTGCTCCTCCTTGTCTCTGCCTTCTGCCTTCCCCATCTCCCTTCTGGGGTAAGCTCGGGGGCCGCTTTCTCCGGTCCTCCAGCACTACCTCCTCCCGTATTCCCAGGGCACTTTGGCCAGTGGCCCATACCCCTTCTCCATCATGCCTCTTCTGATGACCTGACTGCTGGGACCTTCCTTGCTTAGCTAACCGGGATTGAACTACCTGGTACTTATATCACATTGATCCTCTATCTAGGTATTGATAGAATGGAAGCTTCTGCAGAAGAGAGCTGATTTATTCGCTCTTTGCTTTTGTAGCTCCTTCCACGCCACCCTGACCCCCGGTGCCCAACCCCTTCTGTCTTGGAATCTGTCATCCTGGGATTCTGTAGGAAACACTTAAAAATACGTGATGATTGATGATTGAAGCCAAAGTTACCTATCTCACAGGGCTGTTGTGTGTATCAAATATGAGAGTATCTGGAAGTCTCTTCATAAAGTTCAAAAACATTCTATAAATCAGTTAGGACTGGGTTTTTTTTTAACGTGCATCAAATATCATACAAAAGTATGAAATTTTATGAGTTTGAAGCATATACAAAGGGTATATTCCTGGCCTTCAGTATATGTCTGTCTCAAAAAAGATCTGGGGGTCATAGTGGTTTGAAAGCTCACAGCTGGATGTGGCAGACAAAAGCACTGATGCAGTTTTAGGCCACGTTAAGAGAGGCTTCCAGGACCAGGGAGCTGATTGGCCTGTTCTCTGCCCTTTTCAGAGCACATATGGAGTACTTTGTTCAAGTCTTGGCTTCACGGTTTAGGGAGAACATGGGTAAACCAGAGACTGTCTAAAGAAGGGCAGCCAGGATGAGGACAGGCCTCCAGTCTGGCCCCTCGGGGGGGGGAGGGGGGGGGAGGTTGATGGGAGGAGCTGGAGAGTTTTAGTCTGAAGAGGAGAATCTGAGGGGGAGCAAGGTAGCGGTCTTCGAGCGTCTGAAGTCTGTCATGAAAAAGAGTGTTTAGACTCATTCTGCCTCACTCCCGTGGGCAGAGCTCGGAGCAGCTGGGCAGGAGGAGCTTCTGAGAGGCAGATTTCAGGTCCATATTGAGGCAGATCTCCCTGTCACTTCTGAGGCGGAGCTGGAATGGGCTTCCCCAGGAGCCTTTGAGCAGATCGTCAGACAGGCCACAGAGGGGATGCTGGCTCCGGGGTGGTTTGGCCTCCCCAGGCCCTCCTGACCAAGAATCGCTGATCTGAGTTCATTTCAGGCCTAGGACGTTAATCCAGAGAAAAGAAGCTGCAGCCTGGATCTGCTCAGAAGCACCAGCCAGGGGTCGGGAGAAATCTGGTCCAATTCTGTTCCGTGTGGAGGTGACCAGGTTATAAAAGCCATCTCTGACCGTGCCCTGGGTCTTCTACTTTTTGCAGAAGCTGGACCGGCTGGACAAGCAGGTACCTCGGTGTGTGCGGTGTGAGGGCGCCACAGACACACCCAGCCTCCCCACCCACAGACAGCCTCCCAAAATGTTTATTATCACTTCCATCACCAGAGGCGATGAGTAACTCCAGAAAGTAGAGAGCGGGGAATGGGAGAGGCCGGGGGGCCAAAGAAGGTCTAGGCAGAGGCGAGAAATGCATGGAGGGGGTGATGGGCTGACAAGGATGGCCTTTGCTAAGTGGAGTCAGTGCGATGCCTTGGGAAGGTCGCCAGAACTGGGTGCTCGCCCTGCGTCTGCCCACCAGCAGCGTGATCTTGGCTGAGTGGCCCCCCTTCTCTGGGCCTCATTTTCCTCATCTGTGAAATAAAGGGACTGGAATAGGTGGTCTTGTAGGCAAATGCAGGTGATGAGGAACGGCAGACTGAGGGCTAGAGAAAAGATAGCCCCAGCTTAAAAGTCCATTGGTCTCAAAGCTCCCTTCCAATTACGGGATGATTCTGGAATTCTGTGAGGGTTGTTATGAAGACAATATCATAAGAACCCTTGGCACCGTTTCTATTCTATTCAATTGAAAAGGCGTTTATTAAGCTGATAATAACAGCTAGCATCTAGTGCTAACTATGTGTCGGGCATCATGCTAAACTCTGGCACAAGACAGTCCCTGCCCTCAAGGAGCTCACAGTCTAATAGGAGCAAACAACGATGGACAAATTCTCCATAGGAAAAACAGGAAATAAGCAAGAGAGTGAAGGCACTAGAATCTAGAGGCACCAGGCAAGGCTTCCTCTCGAAGGTGGGATTTTAGAGAGGACTTGAAGAAAGCTCAGAAGACTGAGAGGGAGAGTTCCAGGCATGGGGGACAGCCAGAGGAAGTTCCCAGAGCCACGGAGGCTGCTCTCGCTAGGTAGGTCATAGAGTATATGGAAAAGAGTAAGGTGTAAGAAGACTGGAAAGGCGGGAGAGGGGCCAATACTGAATGTCCTTTACTGCCAAGCAGAGGTGCTTATGTTGGGTCCTGGAGTTACTGAGGCTGAGGATTTTGAATTCACTCTATGGACAGTAGAAGCAGTGGAAGATTTTCAAGTAGGGGTGTTAGATGGTTGGGTCTGTGTTTTAGGAATAGTCTGTTGGTAGGTGGGTGGTGAATTGGAGAAAGAGCAGCCAATTAGGCGGCCATTTCATAGTCCACGTGAGCAGGGATAAGGTTCTGAGCTAATGGAGTCTGTGAGGATGGAGAGAAAGGGCCAGATGGGAGAGGCATTGTAGGCACGCAGTAATAAGATGTGGTGCTTGAGAGGATGGGAGATGGAGGAGCCAGGCGTCACCCAGGTGACTGGGCTGTGGTGGTAGCATCAGTGTGAACAGGAAAGTCTGGAAAGAGAGATGGATCTGGGAGGAAACGTATTGGGTTCAGGTTTGCTGTACTTGGGATGCCTCTAGGACATCCGTGTGGACTGGTCTGCTCCTGGAGAAATGCACGTGCCATCTTTGCTTTGCGTTTTGTGAAGTCGGATACGCTCAGCTCACCATATGGAAAGCAGGTTCTGTGGTTAATCTCTTCGGGCTGTAATCTTTATTACATGGGTGGGGTTGGGGTAGGAACCAGTGTTCAGAGGACCGTGACCTCTCTCCAGCTTCCTCAACTCAAATAATATGAAATTCACAGCTCGACATGCACTTCTACTTGGGCTTTGTCTTGGTGAAAAATGTTTGGGGGGAATTTTCCAAAGGGTCTCGTGGTTGAAAACAAGAGAGTAGAAGGCAGGAAATGTCTAGATGCATTGGTAAGAGCGGTTGCTGACAGGTCAGAGGTCCTGGGTGTGAATCCAGCCCTGCTGCCTCTCCCTGTGTGATCTGAAGCCTTCAGGGCCTAGTGTAAGGTAAGGAGGTTGGACTAGTTTAGGGCTCCTTAACCTTCTTTGCGGCAAAAGCCCCTTGGGGAGCTTATGGACCCCTTCTCAGAAGAATGTTTTTAAATGCATAAAATATATAGGGTCAGAGAAGAAACCAATTATATTGAAATAGTTATCCAAATAATAATTTTTTAAGAAACCACGTTTGTAGACTCCATGTTACAAACCCCTGGACTAGGTGATCTCTAAGGCTCTTTACAGCTCTACTAACTTATGTATTAATAGTATTCTAAGGCCCTTTGTTCTGACATTCCACGTTCTAAGGACTTCTTGGCCTCTGACATTCCACGTCCGAAGGCCTCAGTTCAGTGTTCACAGGCCCCTTCTGCCTGACATTCTGTGACTCACACAAACAGCAGTGATCTGCTTAATACCTCTGACCTGGTTCCCAGGTTTAATCCCAGCTTGGTGTGTGACCTGGTTTGTCATGGATGTGCCTCAGTTAACTCATCCCTGCAGTGGGGATAATTAGTAGAAGGAGCAATTATTCTGAGGTCAGAGAGCAGTCCCCCCTCCCCGAGATGTGGCCCAAAGATCTTGAAATGAGAGCACCCGATCCAATATGTTATTTTAACAACAGAAATGGCTTCTCCCCTCAAACAGGTGTTTGCTGTGGGGAAGGCGTGTCACCTTTGAAGAGCAGGCCCAGGGTGTTTGGATCCTGTAGCCACAGTCCGAGTGCAGACCCACAGATGTGGGCCCTGCCTGCTTCTCCTAGGGAGGAGGCCAGTGCTGATGGGCAGGCTAGGGGCCGTGTGGCATGGGAGGGAGGGATGTGCACCCAAGGCTTCTCCGGGTCAGGCCAGTGATGGTCCAGCAGCCAGGGCGTCTTCATTTTATCGGAGCGAGTCCAAGGGTCTGAGAGGAGGCTAGAAATGACTTTAATCCTTTGGAAGCAGCATGATTGGAAGCTTCCTGCTTATCCGAGGAGGGGAGGGGGCTCCCCCCCAAAGGAGGAGAAAGAGAGTAACTGACCATTGGACATTCACGGAAAGGACTTCATGATTCTCTGGATCATTTAAGGGAAAAGGGCCGGCTAGGGACTGGTTTAAATGTCTCCCTCCACACGCAGAAGAATGGACAGATGGAAGGACACACACACACACACACACACACACACACACACACACACCCAAAACTGACAGCTTCACTGTGTCAGGTCCTGAGGGTATGGAGACAAAAATAAGCTAGCCCCTGCCCTCCAATAAATTCCATTCTAGTAGGGGAGAAGTCGTGTACAGAAATACACATCTATTTATTGGCCATCCAGAGCCTCGGAAAGGCCTGTTGTGTATCAGGCACTGGGCCAGAGGCGACATATACAAGGCAAGAGAGAACCCCTGCCCTCTGGAAGCTTCCGTTCTGCCACAGAAAACCTGACACGGCAGGCATCAGAGAATTAGAGCCCGGGGGACCTCGGAAGCCGTTTCTGCCGACGGCCTTCTTTTTCACATAAAGAAACAGATCTAAGTTTGTGGAATCATAGACCTGGGCTGTAAGGAAAGTTGTCTTCCCGGCTCCTTAGAGCATGAGTTCCTTGAGGGCAGGGACTGTCCTTTGCCTCTTTTTGTATCCTTAGCGTTGAGCGTAGTGCCCAGCATGCAGTAGGTGCCTGATAAATGTTTATTGATTGATTGATCCAGTCAGTCCCCTCATTTCTGAGACACTGAGGTTTAGAGAGGTTATTAGGTGACTTGCCCAAGGTCACACAGGTGGGATTTGAACCCAGACCCCAGCCCAGAGCCGGTGCAAGCACTGATCCTCTCGTAGACCCACCCCTACACTCACGCTCACCCCCTTTCTCTGCAGTGCTGAGTGAACAGCCAGCCGCCCATGAGAACCAGAGAGTGATAGTGGTTGGGGAATGTTTATGGCCTCAGACTGGATAAAAATACACACAGGAAATATGCTGAAAACAGGCAAATAGGAGGGACATGGCGGGCTTCAAAAATCTGAGCTGCTTTCCTGCCCTCGCACCCCTTGGCCCCCTCAAACCCGCCAGCGCCTGGCCTTCTCCAGGGAGTCCCCACACATCCTTAGCCCCCAGCCGGGGAGCAAGCTCAGGCCCCTTCCTGGGGCCCAGCAGCCCGGAGCCAAGAGGGGTCCTGAGGCCGCTCCTGCCAAGGGGCCTTTGAACAGGGCCGCTGGAAGGATCCCTCGTTCAGGCCTCAATGGGCTCTTTATTAGGGAGCCCGCCCTTGTTAAATATGCACTGGCAGCCAAGCAGAACTTTTCCTTGTGACGCGCAGTGGCCCCCCGTGGCCAGCTTCTCTGTTAGATTGGCAGAGAACTCACGAGGAAGTGGAGAGCAGATGTTGAAAAAGGAAGGAGAAAGAGGCAGCGAGGAGGTTCGTGAGGCTTCTCTGTGGCCCAGTGGACAGAACAGTGGGCTTTTAGTCAGAAAGACCTGAGTTCCAATCTTGCCTCAGATACTTACTAGCTGTGTGTCCGTGGCCAAGTCACTTAACCTCATCTTCCTCTGTTTCTTCATTGATAAAATGGAGCTGGCCTCTGGCCTCTAAGGGCCATTCCCACTCTAGAACTTTGATCCTGTGGTTGATGAAGTGAAAGCTAACCTAGAGGCTGATGTATGAGTAAAGATTTCAAGGTTAAGTTTTAGTGCCCTTTTCAACTTCTGGTTTGGTCCCCTGGGCCTGGAAAGCATTCCATCCTTACCTCTTTATCCCTTCAAATAACTAGTTTCTGAAAAACTCAGTTCAGGTGCCCTCTTCTCCATGAGGCCCTTCCTCATTCCCCCAGCTCTTCCTAGCTCCCCTCTAATTACCTTTTTAAAAAAATGTTGTATATGCATATAAATGTATAGATGCGTGTGTGTGTGTGTGTGTGTGTGTGTGTGTGTGTGTGTGTGTGGATACACTCACCACCAAGTGGGGGCTCAGAGAGGGGGGGAGGGGAGGAAGAGAGAGAGAGAGAGAGAGAGAAAGAAACATCAGCCCCTGAGGTCAGGGGCTGTTTCATTGTATCTCCTGATGCCTAGAGCACTATTCTGGGCCATAGCAGATGCTTCATTCATGCTTGGGGATTGGTTGAATCCATTTGACGTGGAGGAGCATTTTCTCTCGGGGTAGCAGAAGCAGCA